TATATATATATATATATTATATTACTATATATATATATATATATTAATAATGGAATGTGTGGTTCAGGTGGTCGAGCTCTTGAGCAGCCCCCAGGCCAGCGAAGGCCGCTTTGCCGTAGCCGATCTTAGCATTTAGCCGCTTTAGCCTTTGCGTCCACTCTTTCTAGCCCCTTTGACCGACGCTCTGCAGGAGAGGCTGGCGATTTCGTGCTAATTCGAAAAGAGAACGGTGTTGAAGGTTGGACGCCTGCCAAGCACCTCAAGCCGATGTTGGCTCTTGGCTGAATGCTGGCATGTGCCATCTGAGATGGCGCTGTCAGCAATGCAACGTCCTTGTAATGCGCACTAGCTCACTGCGCATGCAGAAGCGCGTGGTGGCATGAGTGTACAGTTCAGTGTCGCTGCGAGGAAATCTTGAGTGAAATTTATTTATTGAGAATCAGTTCTTCACTTCGACAGATATCACCTGACTCTGCGCGTCGCTGTACATCTAGAGCACATGCGTGCAGGAGAATGTGGATTGGAAGGAGGAAGCAGAAAAGAAGCGGGAACTTGACGCGGAGTACGTCGGCTTCTCAGCTGTCGTGAAACTAAGGGCGGCTGGTCTGAATTCTCCTGCGTAGGAGAGGATGATGAGCGAGCTGGGGCTATCAACAGGCAAGAAGCCGCCAGCACCTCCAGCACCTCCAGGACTGCAAAGAGACCTCGCTGGCTCGCTGGTCCTAGAGTTAGTTATGAGGTATGAAAAAAAGAGGGTCGGGGAAGGAGGGAAGGACTCGAGAGTTTGCGTGCCTCCTGACTGAGCAGAGTGTGTGTTCATGTTGGGTGATGACAAAGCCATGTGCCAACTTGTGGGAGTCGAGCATCGTTAGATTGCTGCACTGCAGTTTACGCATTCAGCAACGTGCTCAACGTAGCTACCGCATTCGACTGAACACAGACTATGGAAGATCGCCGCTTCCCAGCCCTGGGCGGTGGAGTTGTGACGTGCGAACACTACGTACATCTACCTACCATGAGATGAAAGCAGCGATTGCTTCAGCTCCTTGTAGCTGCATCAGTCGCATCTCCGTCACTCGCTCCCAGAGCGCAGACTATTTGCGAGGGAGACGGAGACATGCTGGTTGAGGAACTGTATGATGTTTGCGGTCTTCGTCGCCGGGACAATTTTCTAGTTGCTTGCTGTAAGTATGTCGTCTTGGCACCCAGCAAAGTACAAAGAACGCACATGAGCTAGTAGCGGCTGGAACAGTACACGTGTATCTGCTCTGTCTTTTACTTTGGATTCATTGGAGCCGCCTGTGTTTCCTGGCAGGAACGGCTCCAGAGACACCTCTCCCGGAAGCGGCTCCAGAGACACCGGCGCCGGAAGCGGCTCCCGAGACGCCTGCACCCGTGGCTTCGCCGGGGTGTCGCTGGCAGTTTCCCTATTGTAAGATTGTGTGAAAGACTACGATAGGTTGCAACTGAGCTGTGTCATTGCATGAAAGCGGAACAGATTGACAGAAAGCCTGTGGATACCTGCAGGCCCGCAGGCTGTAGGTTCGCAGGTCTAAAAAATCAAGTGGTGGTTCAATGCCAGGAACTTGCAGGGTGCTGAAGCAGCAGCAGCGCTTATGGCCAGCCGTGCCAAGGTGGCGGGATGTTGCACTGGGTTGGATTCAGTGGCATTCTGCTAGGCGGTGGCGGTATGAGATTGCCTATAGCTTCATGGTTGAGGTAAGTTCGTCTTGTCGCAAGCTTGATTGTTGCCGAATCTTCAGTGGCGGGGGCGCAGCGCCTCTTATGTTCCTATCAGGGGAAGAGGCCATTCGGGCGCACCATTGGTCTCAGAGGAAAACCCTCTCAATGTCCTGGCCTTTGTGTGAAGTCTACTCAAGAATCCCAGAATGGACACTAGGCCATAGTCTTCAATCTACAGCATCACACCTTACTGTAGCGCTTTCGCTGCTTGACTGTGTCAGCGAGTAATCGGAAGTGGAGACTGGTCGACCACTTTGAGGCTCTGACACCGAAGAAGCTTCTAGACTCTTCAGACATCAACTGCCAAACCCCGAAGCTGGCCCCGAAGCTTACGCCAAGGGGCCTATTGCACCTAGGCCATTTGCGACTGCCCTTTGCCTGCCTCATCCCTCCTGCCCTGGGAGGCATCGGGGCCTGGTCCTCCCAGCCCGACGGAGGTGTCTGGGCTCGCGCTGTTGCCTAAATGCGTCAGGACTATAGCAGATTGGGGTTCAGGCAGCTACTGTAAGGGAGTTGAGGAGTACCGGCTGGAAAGCTCGAGGGACGCCCGGTGTGGGGAGCGGAGGGGTTGATGGTTGCGGGATTCGTTTGCCTGCTTCCACAGGCGGATCCTTTGCAGCATAGCTGTTCTCCACAGCAGATTTGTGAACATCAGCTCAACTTCGTGATGGAGGACCAGGTAGAGCAATGCCCTCAAGTTACGAAAGCTGTCTCAGAGCTTTCGCCGCGGATCAGCACAACGCGAGTCTGCACCAATTCAGGCCTTCCAGAGGCCAGAAAGCACGGACTGGAATAAAAGGGACCCCATCCTGATCCCTTGCATGCTGTTACGACGCCTTTCGAATCGAAGCCCCCAAATTGTCCCGAGACACGGAAGAAAGTTCGAATCTGGTACTTCCTAGACAGCAGTGGTTCGTTGTACCAGCAATTGTGTCGCGGCGGCAAAATGATTCCACGCGTTCTTCCCTCGGCAGGGCACACCCGTCGATGCTGACAAAGCTTCGCAGCCGCTTCCAAGGCCGTGCACTGAAAGGTGATGGAAGTGTGGAAATCGGCTTTAGCCGTCTCCTTGAGCCGGGGACTGCCTCGTGCATCCTCGTCTTCTCGTTTTCTAGAACACTGCAGTCACGGGGACTTCTTGTGCACCAATTTCAACAAGCCGACCAGATAGGTTTCTTCTAGCGACCCTGTTACCGTTCGCAGCCATTGCTTTGTCTGCCAGGCCCCCGGGCCCGCCTCCGGTGCCTCCGCCGCCGAAGGCCAGCTCGAGAATTGCTAGGTTTGGGCGTGTCCTGAAAAGTCGGTTTCCTGCACGGCACCGAGTTCAGTTTGGATGAAGTGTAGCGACAGCGTGGCTGCTGCAGGCCGAGCATTGCAGCGCGCCGCTCCTGCCTCAGCCTGGAAAACTTAGTGATAACCTTTCCGGGGATTGGCTTGGGGCTCGTGCAGTCAAACTGACACTTCTTACCGTCGTTTTCAGGTGTTATGGTGGCAGTGCTCCCAGCACAGCATTGGCCCTCCCAGAGGTACGGCACGGTTCGCAGTAGTTGTGAGGAGTTCTTTGTTCCGTGGGTGGAGCACTGCCACCGTGGCATCGGCAACAGGTCTCCAAAAACGGTGTGCGGCCAGCTCAGCGCTTGATCCGAGAAGTGAGAATGATAAATGCCATGTCATTGTGAAGGCGCTCGTCGCAGGTCCTAATTGTAGGCCGCGACAATGGAGTGCCCAAACTTGCTTCGGCACTCAACTTGGACTCCAGTAAAATTGACAGCTGCAACCCTAAATCCCAGAACTTGGGCCCCCCAGTTTGCAATGCAAAGATCCGTGCCCTGTAGGCCTGTCATTGAATCTCCAACGATTCGCCAAAGAAGAGCTTTGGCGAGGGAACAGCTCCAGCTCCTGAGGTGGCCGCCGGTGCGTCCAAGGCAGCCCCTGAGACCCAGACCAAGGGCACAGTGGGCCGTGAGCCGAGGAGAGCCCCAAAAGAACCCCCGATGTCTCAGAGAGAGTGAGAGTGAAGAAGATGGGAAGAAAGCCAAGGCTGGGAAGGGCGCTCCATGTGCTCCCTACCGGCCGCCACGCCCTGCCGGACTCTCAGCTGCTCAGGGGGCCCCCGGTCGTTCAGGGGATCTAAATGCTTGCATCGGAAGACAAGACCCGGATGATACCCTGCAAAAAGACTCAGCGAATATGTGGGCATTTATCTAAATGTCCTTGTTGCCGGCATAACTCAACATGCCTCCACGAAAGTTCCGTGATGATGCCGATAACGAAATATAGTAAAATTGTTTTCTTTGCGAAAGCTTTTGCATTAGCTTACTGGCCTGGGCATACTACTACGACGATGACTACTACCACTGCCACTACTACTACGACTACTACCACCACCACCACCACCACCACTGCGACTACTACTACGACTACTACTACGACTACTACGACTACGACGACTACTAC